CTTGACAGTGTGTCAGTTTGACAAATCAGAGTGACAACTCACCTTGATAGTGTGTCTGTTTGACAAATCAGAGTGACAACTCACCTTGACAGTGTGTCAGTTTGACAAATCAGAGTGACAACTCACCTTGACAGTGCGTCAGTTTGACAAATCAGAGCGACAACTCACCTTGACAGTGCCGTCAGTTTGACAAATCAGAGTGACAACTCACCTTGACAGTGTGTCAGTTTGACAAATCAGAGTGACAACTCACCTTGACAGTGCGTCAGTTTGACAAATCAGAGCGACAACTCACCTTGACAGTGCCGTCAGTACTGCCCGTGTAGAGCCGGGTCTCACTCTGGTCCTGTGTCAGACACGTGACCTCTGAGTTGCCGTGCGTGTTGTTGAACTGCTTGACCTTCTGACCCGTGTCCACCAGCCACATGGTGATGGTGCCCGCCTGGCACACGCTCACAATCTGAACGACACATCTTTCGTTTTAGTAAGGTTTTTACAGTACTTACAACTGCATAAGGTCATATGAGTGCCAAAGGATGTTTCAGTTATAGTAAGGCTTTATGGCGCTCGCAACTGCATAAGGTCATATGAGAGCCAAGGGGTGTTTCAGTTTTCGTAAGGTTTTACAGCGCTCGCAACTGCATGAGGTCATATGAGTGCCAAGGTGTGTTTCAGTTTTAGTAAGGTTTTACGGCGTTCGCAACTGCATACGATCATATGAGAGCCAAGGGGTGGATGTCAACAGGGAAATCCAAACAGGAAATCAGGCATACTCTGTTCACCTCTCTAGCCTCAACAACATAAAGTCTGCTTTGACTATCAAGGCCCCCCGGAAAAAGCAGTTCAGAAGACAGTGACAAACATATAAAAGAAGTAGAAGTAAAATGACGATAGTAAGGATGAGGAGGAAAAAAGCAGCAGTTCCCTTTATGTTGTTCCGGCACAGTATATTCCGGCACAGTATAATAATAATAATAATTACATTTATATAGCGCATATCCACGCTCAAGAGCATGCTCTATGCGCTTTACAACTATTATTACCCCAGCAGACCCTCTGAGAACACTCAGAAATATTCTCGGCTTCCGCGGAAGCGTACAGTGCAAGCTGCGGATTTCACATGCTCAAACACTAGCAAACTGACAAGATCGTTCACTGTCTATAGCCGGGTACCCATTTCCACCTGGGTGAAGTGAGGAAAATTTGTGCAAAGTGCCTTTCCCAA